CCCGGTCCGGGGCGGGAGCGCTGCCTCCTGCGCGGCAAGCACGTTTCTGCAGGTCGCCTTCGCTCTCTGGCCCGGTGGCCGGCTGGGGCCCTCCGGGAAGGACGGGAGGGCGAGGGCCTGCGGGGACGGTGAGTCCGGGAAGGGGCCCGGCGGGGGCGGCGGGTGGCTTTTCTCAGCCCCGGAGGCTCAGCTCTGCCCCGGGGCGTTGGCATCTCTCGGGGCCACACGCTTCTGGACTGGGGCAGTGCAAAGATGGGCTGCTTAGCAGGCTGCCTGTCTGGCTCCGTCCCGCTTGCAGCCGCAGCCCACGCGCAGCAAGTCTTTTTTACGGACGGCTTCGTTTTCTCTCCATTCTGCTGTCGGAATGGAGGATTCGTCAGGATCACTATTCGTTTCCCTCGTGTCCTTATCTTGGCTTCTTACAGTTGTTCTCTGGACAGATGACGGGCGTGGATGCAAAGCAATAATTACAGTATATCGCTCTTTAGATTTCATAATGCCTGGTTTAATAACATCTGCCTTAATACCTGCTGGGGACCATAAACAGACTACTGTTGATTTTCCCTGCAGTCTGCCCCCATTCCCAGCGTTTCGTTAGCGCCAGAATGATGGAGTCTACGGATGTCATTCCGGATTACAAACGTTGCTACAAAACGTACCTTACTGACTGGTTCTTTCAGTACTTACTATTTAGATGGGTTATTTAAAAGAAAAAGGGAAAAAAGCACTCCAGCAGGAAATGGCCAAAAATGTTTGTGCTGGTGGCAAGCCGGCATTTCGGGTGTTGTTTTCTGTTCCTAAAAAGAACTTGTTTTGCCTTTTTACTAATTTAGGACCTTGCATTTTAAGAGCTTTGCTCCTTTGCCTTTTATACTAAAGCTTTTCTTTCTCTGTTTTTTGGGTGGGTGCTTAAGGAGTGGATCTAATCAGGCCATTGTTTGTTTACTTCTCTTGTGAGTGGGGTGTGTATTGATCATTATATATTATAGTATTGTGATATACGGAAGTGAAATGCCTCTTTAAGAGTGTCACTGAAAGTGCAACACACGTTGTAGCAGTTTACTCTTTGGGTAGACCAGCAGACATCTGGATGATACGATCTTTTTATTACTTTTGGACTTCGTAGGGTAGTAATACTCTTTTTGTATAAAAGGCTGTTACGGAGAAGTTGAAGAGCAGACCTGGGGGAGGCTGCAGCTCAACTGATATTTTTCTTCTCAGCTTCTAGAAGTATAGGGCAGATCCTGACAAAGGTTTTTTTTTTGTTTTGGTAAATAGAAGCATTATGCGTGTGTCGCTTAGGACTCACCTTTCTCTTGTAATGACTAGAAGTCATTCTAACTTTAAGAGGTGGCTTTGGTAATGTTTATGTTATTGCTGGATGTGGAGCTAAGAAACTGAAAGCAGGACAAATGAATTGGTTGTTCACAAACTGGATACAAATAACTAAAGCAATGCTTAGCTAAGTAGATACTCAAGATTACAGTTATTTGTAGCTAAGAGCTCCTGCAAAAAGGGCCATTTATTTACATGTAAAGTTGTAGGATCTCTTTGCACGAGTGCATCTTGGGAAATGCAGGCTGGTTCACCCGTTGTGCTAAATACGATGCATTGACTAAGCAGCACTGGTTGGATTCACGCATTGTGCTGGGCCATTATGATGGTTTACCACCGATAGCAGTTGGGTTCACATGTGTTAAGTCAAAACCAAGCAAATCGCTCTATCAGTTAGCACATGTATGAACCTGGTAGTAGTTTCTGATCTGTGGACTAGGTTTCTGCGTGGAGCTAAACAACTATGACGTAGTTTGCTTGTTTTGCCTTAGCGTGCTAGTTGAATCCAGTTGCAAACCCTTGTTTATGGTGTGGCAGGTTGCTGAAACTCAGCAGGTTTGGACTGGTTTATATATTTGTTAACTTCTGCGGCCGCCCACTCGCCAAGCCATGCCTCATGGAAAGCATCACGTAAGAAAACACAACCCAGTAGCCATGCCTTCTTTAGCGCTGCATAATTAAGACGTTTATGAAGATGCCACCTTAAAACCCAGCCAGGTCTTGTTTTCATTCTGCAACCGCTCCCATTCTCACTCCCTGGATAATTACTCTGGTCTGCTTCTGTTGGCTGTGAATGGGTGTTTTGGCTTGGCTCTATAACTGTAGCAGCAAGCTGACATGCCCAAATGTGGGTGATTGAGCTTCCTTCATGATTGTTCATGTCAGAAGAAGTTTCATGGGTTCAGTTTCTGTGAGACAAGTTGTAGTACCTGTCGCTACTGGTACAGAAGGAGCAAGGAATTGGAGTCCTGGGCAGAAGTACAGGGGAATGCTCCAATATTTATCCAGTTAATGGTAGTCTACAGAGATGTTTTTTCTTGCCACGGAAATAAAGCCAACCTGCTTAGTTTGCATCTCAGGTGGCATACGGGACAAATAACAATAACTACTGTACAAAGATTTCCAAAGCTCCTCCCTTTAAAGGGGACTCAGAAGAAGAAAGAGCAGAGAACAATAACTCCTGCAAACAACTGGAAGAAAAAGGATAGCTAAAAGTGAGTTCAGCTGAATGGTGTCAGTCTGTGAGGGCAGCAGGCACTGCTGGTGAAATAGATGCCCTCTGTGTTCCTCAGAGGTACTCCTGAGCCCCAAGACCACCCTTAGGCACCCCCAGATCTCTAGCTCATTGGGAGACCTTCAGGAGCAGAAAGGAAATGTAGTCAGATGGCACATGGGCTTTGTTTCACTGTGAAACTTTTAATCCATTTAATGGTGTGATTGGTATTTTCAGTGGTGATTATTTAATTAAAGCTATAGCACATCCATACACCTTGGTTTGAAAGTCACCAAAAGCTTTGAACTCTCTCTGATCTGATGCAAAAAAGGTGCATAAATGTACGCAGACGCTTTGGACAAATGAACAGCAGTGAATTTGCTCTTGATCTCTACTGTCTAATTGAATACAAGGACAAGCAATTTACCTACTAATGCGTAAATTTTGTTTGGGTTGCTAGGCGCTAATTAGCGTCCTTTCTTGGAATAGCCCAATTCCAGTTGTATTTCTGCAAGTTCACGGCATCTGAACCCTGTTATTTTTATTCTCTTTAAGGTGGAAATAGCAGCAGTCCAGAATTCACGGTGAATCAGTCAGTAACAAGCAAATGTGCCTACACAATGGGAGAGAAACAGAAAGTGGACCCATTTTCCACTTTTAGCTTTCCAAAAACCTGTCAGACTTGGTAAGTAAAATTTGCAGTTAGCGTATTCTGCCAAGCCAATTTTTAAAGGTAGTTTCCCAAATCTTGAAGGTGAATGTCCAAAATGGGGATATGCATAAAGTACTGTTTTGTTTTGTTTATGTCAGGGGCTTGGTGCTTGGCTTGGTGGCTGGGGCCCGTGAGCTGATGCTAGTGATTTTTTTTGTCCATTGCTTAACTTAGCAAGAGTTAAAAATGTAAAGTGCCCACATCAGCACCAGGCTTTCATTATGAAATATGGAAGTTCGATCCTCAAATTTCATTTTAGAAACTGCTGGCTGCCTGTGAACCTTGAAACCTGCCTATTACATGTTATTTGAGGGGTTTGCTTGATTCGGTTTTACCAAAAACATCCTGTTTGCTGAAGCGTGCCTCTGAGCATTTGCAGAGAGATCTTTTTCCAGAGCTGACTCAATCATCATTTATATTTTTAAAATGGGAAGGACAGTGTGATTCGGGAAGGGAACATTTCTTAGCATCCTAGAACACTGTCCGGGATGTACAGACCTGTTTCTAGTTCAGACGATTTATTTCTGGAAGTTGTCTGGTCTGGAGGAAGCTCAGCATGGCTTAGAGAAGAGAACGTTCTTCGGTTCTCCAAAACCTTCCTGAATCAGTGAGTTTTTCATAGCCCTTCTTAGAAGAAATATTCATCTGATTTAGTTTTCACAGACGTCAGTGATATTGCATTCCCCAGGTGCACATAGCTGGAGTGTGAATCAAGTCATTTGTGTAGTAATCTTGGTTTAAAATACCCTGTGATTTACTTTTATGGGTGTCGAGTAGGGTGGTCTTGGCATGTCAGTTGGGAAATGGACATAATCTTCTGGTTCTCCACTAACTCTGAATTAAACTACTTGAGGGAAGGAATAATGCTGCAGGGACTGAAAACATTTAGCTCAAACTCATAAATGATCAGCAGACTGGCTATTCTCATTCTTATCAGTGATGTTTAAGGCTGTCCAACCATTGCAGAGTGGCCCTTTGGAGTTAGGTCCACATGTTGTTGTAAACCATGTGTAGCTTGTTTGGTTTTATCTTAGCAAGTTGTGGTTTCAAATTATGGCTTATGGCTTAGCATTTTGTGCAAACATAACTAGTTGTTCAGAGAACTAAAGCTATCCAAACTATGGCTTAGTGTGATGTATCAGACAGCGATAAGGAGAGAATGCGCTCTTATGAGTTGTCTTGGAGGCCTTCTGTACCATTGACATGGCATCTTTCTGGGCCCTCTGGAAGGGTTGGGGTTTGGAGACATTGTACTAAAGCTTTCTGAGTGGGCCTTTCTAGTGGGTGTATGTAGAGGAGGTCCTGATGCACCTGTGATTACTCCAGTGTGGGGTGCCTTTTGGAAATCCTCCTAGACTCACAGTGCCTGCTACAGCAATAGGTGTTCACCATGGCTTGGTGGGGGTGAGGGGAAGGGATCGCCCAATTCTGGCTGGTGTGCCAATTGCATATCATTTTAGACTAAGGTGCCATGACAATAATGACTCATGCCCTCGACAACTTATGGATAGGCCACTACTACTAAACACTCCACACTGACCTGCCCTTGATGACTTGGAAGCTTCAGGTGGTCCAAAATGCCGTGGTCTGGCTACTAACTGGAGGTAGCATATTCAGCAGAGTTACACCTATGAGGCAATTGTTGCGTAGGTTGGGGTTTGCCTCTTGGTCTGATTCAAAGTGCTGGTTATCATCGTTACAGCCCTACATGGCTTAGCAGCCAGGTAGCTATGGGCCTGTCCCACCCAGATTCATTGTGTACCATGCAATCACCGAAGGAATGTATGCTGATGGTCCCTATTCCATGAGAGGTATGGGGGGCTGGGGGCCCAACAACACACTTTCTCGGTAGCAGCTCCCTCCCTTTGGAACATGCCGGCTACACGAGATAAGGAATGCCCCAACCTCCTGGCCTTAAGGAAGACTTTAACAAGTCTATTGTTCCACAGATCATGTGGACGCTGATGATCCAAGGACTACCTGGGTTAGATAAATGAGATTTTTTTTTACTGGTTTTGCTCAGTTGTAAACAACCTCGGGTCCTTTGTTTGAAGAGGGCGGCCTAAGAACAACTGTGTACATTAAAATTAATAAACGAAGTATTACTCATAGAGCGCTGCTTACTTGAGAAAATGTATGGTAAAACAGGAAAGCACAACGTACTAAAGAGTCAAATGCAAGATTCTGTGGGCTTAGGGATTCTACTTCCTCAGCTCCATGTGATGTGGAATTTCATCCTGATGTGAGTATCTAGCTTAATATAAAAAGCGCTAAAGAAATTGTGTAAACGTTACACAACCAGAGCTAGGAATCTCCCAGCTTCTTGTGGTCTCCCTGGTACAACAGAGGGAGGTCCACAAACAGCAGTTTCCAGAAATGGAAAACTGAAAAACTTCCCTATCTCAGCCTCTGGAGGCTCCTGAGTTTCAAAAAATGTGTGACACGAAGCATCTTTTAGGCAGCTCCTCCCATCTCGGAGAAAGACCTTCACTTTGGTCACGTGTGCTTATGTTGTTTTTAAATTGTGTTGTACAGATGAGAATGATTAAAACCAGTGTCCTGAGTTCCTTCGACCCCCCGGGCACTAAAGCACACGATTGCCGTAACGCTGGCGTGTTTTTCTCAGGGAGGAAACGGTGCAATGTTATGGCAACCGTTCAGGGTCTGTCTTGAGTAATGGCTGCTAGAATGTTGACTATGGGCTGTAAATACGATTGGTGTGGTTGACCGCTGCAGTCCATAGACCATATTTTTATTGTACATTGCTTCACCGTGGTTTTTATGGTACAGTGATATTAGCCCTTATAAACAAGTATGAAGATATCCTCATGTGAATTTGGGCCTTAAATATGTGATTTCTTGCTTCGTCTGGTAGCCAGCTAAATGCACGCAGATGGGTTGAAAGAAACAGAGAAAGCCAGCAAGGGGACGCAGTCCCATTTTTCTCCTCCAACCAAGAGGAATTTGTTCTCGTTTCATTTCTTCCAGAAACAGATGTCAGTTCCACTATGGCTTTTCAGCTTGTAAATAATTGTGGTCTGTTTGTATTTTGTAATGAATCACGCAGGAGCCTACAGCTGTGGGCTGGAGCAGAAGGAGCTGGGGGGAGCTTGGCGCAGATGGAGGGGGCTGCGCTGACCTTCCCTTAAGGAGAGGGGAGAGCAGCTGAGAGACCCAGGGGACCCTGAACGATCCTTGTGCCCACCAGGCGTTGGTCGTGCGGGATGCAGAAGAGGGGGTGGGAGGACGGAGTAAAGCAATAACCGAGGAAGGAGCGCCACGGAGCATTGTGGGTTCGTTCAGATATTACGCAGTCCAGCTGAGCTCCGATACTGATGATGCATCCGTGCTGCTTCCTTGGCCGTGTTACAGAACTGGTTTCCCTGCCGTTCTTCCCGGGCACTTTTCCGACTTCCCCATCTGGCCTGCCCCTTGGCAGTTCTTCGTAGTCACCCATCCAAGGTCTAACCAGGGCCAACCCAGATTAGCCTCTGAAATCAGCCCAGGTTGGCTGGGTGCTGCCCCTTGTTGACATGCCAACTGGGGTATTATACCCTCAGATGCATTCCCTGCAAGACCAACCAGGTGCGAAATGCAGCGAGGGAGAGAACCTGGCATGTGTGTGGGTGCCCTTGTTTCTACCACTGCGGTTTTTACTGTTTAAAAGAGAAAGGTGGTCGTGGTCACTGTACTTGACCATCATACGTCCACATTTCATTACACTTCAAACCCTTTGACGCAGCTGGGTGGGAAGCAAGTTGTGTAGACTTCCCATTTCTCATTTTAACTTTCCTGAATGAGAATCGTGCATGGTAAATATCCACCGGAATGGAAGTTTGTGGCGGTGAAAATGGGGGTAAGGTACTAACTGGAAGTGCAGTTTTCATAAGCGGAGATAACAGTTTGAATTAGGCCAAGCTGGCACGGACAAAGTCCAGGGATTGTGGAAGTCCCTGGAGGACACCAGATTCTGGAAAGCTGGTTTGGATGATCAGGTAAGAAAGATGAAGTGAATCTCCTAGAGGAGAGGTGGAAAAGGCTTCATTATAACGTCTGCAGAAAAAGACCCGCCGTAATTCTGAGACAAAAGCGTAAGCTTTTAAGATCAGTTGCGCAGCACATTTCCAGCAATGAAACGTAGCATGGAAGTGGTAAACCTTTGCCATTTCATACTGCGTGCCATCCTTGAATCTCTGTTTCAGCTGGTGTTTTGGTCTTATGGTCAAAAGTCCTAAATGAAAAGTGAATATTTAACTACTTGTCCAAGGGCAGCCGGCCATCCCTCTTATTGAACCTGAGATTAGGTGGCTGGAAAACAACAACGCCAGGGTGCCAGGGCTCCTCGCTTTGAATGGAGTATAGTAAAAATCAGATGTGCCTTTTCAGTAAATGGTGAGGAAAGTTGTTAACTCTTCTTGGATGTAGACAATCCATGATGCGTTTCCTTTGATTTGGGATTATTACGTTGTAGGAACCCAATAATTGGCGGCTTTCAAGACTGATTTCTGGGTTAGTGTGATATGTAAACCTAGCCAATTAGGTTTATCAGCAAACCATGGTTTTATCAGCAAACCATGGTTAATCTGGTTTAGCACATGTGCCTTCTGAAATGTTAGAGTGGGTAGTAATGCATTTATTATTTTATTTTATTTTTTTGCAGAGAAAAGTATCTGTGTTCTTAAAAACATCCACTTGTGTTAGGAATAAACTGTCATCTCAACCTCAGTTGATGTTTAAGACGGTATTTGGGGACCAGGCACATTCTGGCTTATTTTGCAGCATTGCCTCTATAATCCATGCTTTGGAGTTGGGGAGTGGGTAGAGAATAATCGTTCAGATGCTAGACTAAAAGCGCTATGCAAAATTGTGAAGCATTATTCATAGGCTACATTAAGAGGAGTAAGGCAAATGCTTATGCTATTCATGTATAAGTGTTTGGGGGGGGGACACTAACTTTCACTCCTTTTCATCAG